TCAGCTCAGCTTCAGCTGATGAATGGATAGTCTGACATTCTCCTTCAGGTTTTGCTGATAAAGTGCTGACTTCATGGTTCCATCAATTATGACAAGCCACCTGGGTCCTGAAACACCGAACAAATCCACTGTTGTTGATGATTATAATCCAGTATTCACCGTTACTTCGTTCGAGAATTCAATTTTTTAACACATGTTGATATCAATTTAATGCATTTACATGAAAGTAGCAGTACTTATGAGCACCTTAATATTGATTGTGTTAATGAGACTGATTAAGAAGTGAGTGTAACCAACAGTATACTAAACAGAATTTCCTTGTTTTTATGTAACTCTTCTTTATACTCACTACAGCTTGATAATTCTCATGTTTCCAGGCAGACTCACATTTATTTTTTCAGAATGTTTTTATGTACACATTGGTTTATGTAACAATAAATGTATGCTCTGTTTTGTGACTCCTTGCTCTTCTGTCGGTTGATTCCTAATAGCCAAGGTACACTTGCGCAATGTACGGTTACAAGTAAACATTGAGCCAATTATTTTAAACAAACCTCTACTACACGAAGACCAACCTCATAAATATTCTGATATTTTTATGACAGTGCTGCTCATACAAAGAAAAAAACAATTATTTAAGAACTTTCTTATTAGCTTCTTATTTGTGCTAGGGCTTTACTTATTATTTAACATTGATTCTTAAGTCTTAATAATTATTTTTTTAAGTCATGAACCATTATGTCTCATAAAGTGTTGAACTAGTTAATAAACTGAATTCAAGATAAAAGCCAAAGAGGTGATACAAGGGTATCACAGTCAAGGGTATCACAGTAAGAAATTGTACTTCGCATATTTATATTGGGTATTCATAAATGTTTTGGTACTCTATACACAGAATGCCATGTTTTAAGGTACAAATGTTTATCCTGTATAATTTATACATTCTGTTACAAACATATTAATATGTACACATCTACTTTCCTATTGCTGAAGTTGTACGTATTGTCTTGTTCCATTACAAGGTTATTCATTAATCGCGTGAATCATTAAGTGTATCGAGCAGATATTAATTTATTCAAGATGGCATATGAATAAATAGCTCTACAACATTGTTAAAGTCAGAAGAGCTGAATGTCTTAATTAAGTTATTTATGACTACCACTTTCTATGACGTACAATTATTCAGTTGGTTTAGAGCAGATAACACTGTCAAATCAGTATAGTTAAAACATTCTTACTTCTGGTGATGAGAACATTATTAAGGGAGGAATACTAAAGCTTCTTTGAATGTCCAACTATATATACTCACTATACTACTTACTACAATAATCTGAGTAAAGGTTAGTCAATTTATTTTACATTTGCCATTTCAAGTACAGTACATTCGGGGGTAATTAATTCTGAATAAATGGCCCTATTAACAATGGCCCTCCTACATCTGTCTACCATTCTCTGGACAAGTGTTCAATAGCAATACTCTGCACTACATAGTGTGCATTAAAGTGCTGGAAATGCTCTGCTTTGTAATGCTACAATCAGCTATAAATTAAAAAGAAAATCCCAGTAAATTTTACATCAGAGGACAGGAATTGCTCTTTACAAATAAGTAATGTAGCCCTGTCTGAACTTGCAAAAGAGCAATAGCAACACAGCAACTCACAGGAAATGGAAACTTAAAGCTTAAGTTTGGCATGTTATAGCCACTTCTAGTTTAACTAATCTTCACTTCTTATCTAAAATCTTAGAGAAAGTACTTAAAATGAGCTGTTATACAAACAAACATCCTGTGGTCTGAGTACATCAGTTACTTCGTTGTTTTGAAAGCCTCAGACAAGACTGTTGCAGCAGGGTTTTTAAATACAGGACCCATAAATTGTTTAATTTTATTATTATTATTATTATTATTATTATTATTATCATCATCATCATTATTTTTATTATCTGCTATATAAGTGTGTAAAGTGCTCTGTGGTAAACTATTGCAAAGCAACTACAAAGGAAATAAAAATAATGCTTGATAGGTAAATATATTGATTCAGGCTGTGCTTTAGCGTTGTATTCAGTACAGTCTGAAAGATTACACATTTTCAGTGGAGGTTTATAATTATTAATTTATTATCAATTTCTCCACAGCAGGGTTAGGCCTCACTGGTCCCGGACTGCTGAGGTTGTGTTATAATAATAATAATAATAATAATAATAATAAT